GGTACCCACAAACTACAATATATGTAAGATGATTCAGAAGACATGACATAAATATTAATATTTTTCTTATAGGTGATTATCCCGTTTGTATTATTAAAAACTCATTATCCAAAATGCAGAAACATTTCGAATATAATATATTGACTGTAATTCTCAAATATTATCACGATTTCCTTAGCCTATGTCACTGAAATTATAAGGGGCAGTTGTTTTTTTGATTAAATAGTTACAATCATCTGCTGTGCAATTTTAATTAAGAGATCATTACAATTGCATTGTAATTTTTATTAGATTATATAATTACAGTTATACTGTTTATTCAATTAGATTTCACAATTAAAATGCAATTATAATTAAAATGCATTTGAGTAAATTGTATATGCAATTAAAAATTGTTACATTGTAATTACAAGATAATTGCATAATATTATTCCAATTACTATACTATGGTTTTTCAATTGCATTCTGTAATTACATTTGCAATTAAGATCATGATTTTCCTGGGCTACGTAACTACTGCTTTTATCAGAAACAATTGCTATCCTAATTACATTATTATAATTACTTACTGGAGTTACAATGACAGTGTAATTGTAATTAGATTATATGATTGCAGTTGCATTGAATATGAAATTGGATTTCACAAATATAGAGTAATTGTAATTTAAATAAAATTACATAAATTGTAATTGTAATTAAAAAAAAAGCTACTTTTTAACTATAACTACTTAGTAATTGCATAATTTTATTACAATTGCATACTACACTTAGAATTACAATTATGATCCTAATTTCACCATGTTAAGTAATTCTAATTATCAGAGACAATTACTTTCCTAATTACGTAATTATAATTACCTACTGCAATTGCAGTTAAAATTACGTTGTAATTAGCTAATATTACCGTAGTTGTGATTAGATGCAATAAAATTTGTAATTGTAATTTGATTATATAATTATAATGTTTGTGATTATCATTGCATTGTAATTGTAAGACTTAAGAATTAAAATGCAATTACATACATTTTTGTTGCATTTAAAAAGTATTTACTTTCTAATTGTAATTGCGAAGCTAATTGCAATATAATTGAAATCACATATTTCAAAATATTGTTGCAGTTTCATGCAATTTTAATTTTAATTCCAACTACATTTTGCCAAACTGCATCTAAAATTTGGAGAATAATTAGGCTGGAAAATGAAAATTCTCTTTACGAACATAAACATTTAAGTTTACTATAGCTGGTATAAGCACAGAACAGCTGGAAGTTTTGAACGAGCTATTTATTCCCGAGCTGTTATTCAAAACCTAACGATAAAAACCCATTTGCCCCTAGGAATAGATAGTTTTCCTCTCCTCAATTACCTCCCGCAAAGAAAAATTATCACCTGTCAGTTTACATTAAGAGCAGTGAGGGGAGGGCACTCTGAGACAGGCCGTATATATGCTGCTTTGCCGTTTCGTGCCAAAATTTAAGTTTACGTATATATGCTGCCTTGCCGCCATGAGGACCAAAATATTTGGACGCATATATGCTGCCTTGCCGCTATGAGAGCCATTATTTTCGAACGCATATATACGGCCTTGCCGCCTGGAGGGTTAACGTTTAACTTAATGTTTCACTTATCATCCTTGTTAAGATTCGGTCGAAATGTAATTATTTAACTGCTCTTTACTCGAATCATCTCTTGGTTATTCAGTTTATCACTAGGATGAGGAAATAATAGAAACGAAGCTGGAAACTGAGCGCGAATATTTCTTATTTTATCTAAGGCTGTTTGTTTGTAACGAAATAACTCTAACATAATAACCTTTTAAGGATAATTAGTCTCTACAGTTTTATACACATGTCTCACCGCTAATTTAGATTATTAACCCTCTGACTGCTTATCCCGCGATTTCCGCGGGCATGTGTTTTTCTTCCTTTATTGATGAGCGCATTCCGTTTTTTCCCCATTTGACCACTGAAATAAATTATATACAGTATTAGACGTTTAGTTTACGTTTAGACAACAAATATCGTTAGTTGTCCGCTAAATTGGGACGTTTGAAAGCACGTGGAATTACCGCTCAAACACGACATTTTGCCGCTTTTTTCTTACAGCGATTATCTTGATTATTTAATTAAATTATTGAATTATTAATTAGATTTTTTATTAGATTAATAATTAAATTGATTATTAATTAGATTTATTGAATCTCTTGCAAAAACTGTGAAATTGGACTTTGCCTTGAACCCCGTTTTGAACTCTATCATACTAAACTGCATTTTTAATGTATTTTTTCCCTCAGTGCTTTATATTTTCTTAAATTTTATAATTTTACCTTTTATATTATGCAATAAATAGACATTAACTGTGATTCGACTGAATTTTTTTTTAAAAAAATTTTTGGTGATAACATTTAAAAATTGGTATTTCTGGCAACTTAGTTTCTCATGATAAAAATCTATATAAAAAATATTTTCTAGGAAAAAAAAATGCATTTTTCAATTCTCCAATAATTAATATAGATTTAAAATTTGCAAAAAAAAATTACATAATTTTTGAAGCGATTTCGGTCCCCAAATTGAGCAGTCAGAGGGTTAAGACCTACTTAGTTATATGATGTCGCCCCTCGCAGTACAAAGGAAATGGAAACTGCAAGTAATAATTTATTCTAGAATTACTTATAATAAACACTCCTAATTTATGTAAAGTAAAAAATATAGTTCAATGAAATTTTGGTACCACGTTTTCCTTTTAGTATTACAGAAAATGAGCCAAGATGAAAAGGAATGAAATTTGTCATTTCTTGCTACTCTACTTACGAGCTATTATTCTCCTTTCTGTTCTAATTATTAAACTAAATTAACAAGATAAATGTAGCTAAAAGACACAAAATCACTTACGCTATTTTTAAAAAATCGAAAATGTAAATTCTGCTAGTAACTAGAGGATAAGGCATCTTTCAGTCTTGTACGGGTTCCACGTACATGTTAGGATATAACTTGTACGACTGGCCCGAGATGTGTACGACTGTCGAATCCGGAGATGGCATGTGTTGTATCTCTCAATAGAATTCTAAAAGGTAAAAAGAAATCTCTTACCTTTTCTTTCACCCGGGAGCCGAGCTTGTTCCATTCTAATTCTTATTCGATGAAATATCTAAATAATTCCAAGCTTTTGCATAAAGAACTGACACTTCTGTATAAATAAAGATATTATATTTAGATACATTTATACATTTTATATACAATTATTAGATTACATAAAATTACGCGCTCTCCAGCTAACAGTCATTCGAGTTCGGGTTCAGAGTTCTAACTACGTTCTTACGTAGGATTATTCTCGAGTTTAGATGTAATGGTGCTGATAGTTCGGAGTTTAGATGTGGAGGCGCTGATAGTTCGGAGTTTAGATGTAACATCACCTCCCACCATTGAGATCCGACGATGCGGAGGAACTCAATACACACAGGTCCAGTCGATGAGGAGGCCGAACAACTCGTCCAGCTCTGGTCATCACTCGAGGACTTGAGGCAGGTTCTGGAATACTAGCAGCCTGATCAGCCTGACCAGTTGCATGGTCGTTTCTATCTCGAGGTGCTCTGTCGGGGAACGGAGGGCCAACGGATTCGGAAGTAGAGATCTCCAACGGGAAAAGCCGGGGCACTGGACGAAGCAGAATTCCATTTCTTGTCTTCTTGACCCTCGCTAGTCTAACTATTCCGTCTTTACTGGGGAAAAGCTCGACTATCTTGGCTAAAGGCCAATGTATGCGTCGTCTCTGGCTGTCTTCCAATAGAACGCCTACTTGCAACTTTTGAAATTTTCCCTTCTTTATTGCCTGTTGTCTCAACTGACCAAGATATTCATTACGAAATCTGTTTCGTAGATCATGTCTTATTCTCTGTCGGTATTTGGCTCGACGGTTTAGTTCTTTGGAATCTACGTAGTCCATATCAGGAAACTCCTGATGACGGCAATTCTTGCAGGAAACATCATAGGGGTCAGTGGTGATGGATCTTGATTATCCTCTGATACGTATGTGATAGGTCGCGAATTAATCACTTGTTCACAGTCACATAATAAAGTATATAATTCTTCATAATTTAAGGACTTTTGACCTAACACTCTTCTTAAATTTTCTTTCACCATTCGCACAAGCCTCTCCCACCAACCTCCCCACCAGGCGGCGGTCGGAGGGTTGAACTTCCATCGTATCCTTTGGATAAGCAGCAGCTGAACATATGGCGTTCCAATTAACTTTCTTAACAACACTGTTAGTCCCTACAAAATTAGTTCCGTTGTCGGAATATATATCACATAAGGTCTACCTCTTCTGGCAATGAATCTACGTAAAGATTGGATGAAAGTTTCTGTAGATAGAGAAAGTAACTAGTTCGAGGTGAATGGCTCTATAAATGGCACATGTATACAAGACTATCCACGCTTTAGACCCCTCACGGAGATAGAGAGGACCCGCTAGATCTACACCGACGACTTCAAAAGTCGCCCCTTCTCTGACTCGATCTTCGGGTGGAAATCCTGGCTCGACTTCCACTCTTTGTGAAACAAATCTTTTACATCTTACACATTTTCTGATAATATTTCGAATACTTTTTCCTGGATTTTAATATCCAAAAGTTTTCTCTAAGATTTGTCATTAAAGTGCTGACACCAGCATGCTGGAGTTCTAGATGTTTCTCGTAAATTAGTCTCTCAACAAGAATATGTTTTGAAGGTAAAATGATAGGATATCGGAAATTTTCATTATCTTGACGCTGTAGGACGTTCGTTTTGGCTCTTAAAAATTCCATTTTGGTCTACGATTGGTCTCAGCGCACGAATAGCGGGATCGTTTATATGCCTGTAAATGATTCTTTCTGTACCAATCTACAAAGTGCCTTTTCAGCATTCTCCAATTCATCAACTGAGACATCAGGAGTAAGGTTTTTATCTTTGTTCTTTAAATTGTGATAAAACCTGAAAATCCAAGCGATCATTCTCACGGTTTTTCTATATGAAGAGAAGTATTTGTAGTATCGGTCCAAATTGTCTCCATGATCTAGAAGAGTCAGAATCGTTTTCCTTTTTTCTTTGTTTATAAGTTCGTTTCTCATCAGGCTTTTCTTCTACATGGGGCCACTCGTCTTCTGGTAAGTAAAGCCACGATGGGCCCTCCCACCATGCCGATTTCTGTAATTGCTCAATAGTACATCCTCTCGATGGGAGATCCGCTGGGTTTAAACTTCCAGGTACATGCCTCCAGTCAGATATTCTGGTAAGCGATCTTATTTCTTGTACTCGATTGTGAACAAACGTACCCCATGCTTGATCCCTTCTTATCCACCCCAAAGCTGTAGAAGAATCACTCCAGAACACTGTTCTACAATTCTTAAGTTTCAAATCTGATAGAATTGTTTTGGCAAGCCTGGCACCTATCAGACAGGAAAGAAGTTCAAGCCGTGGAATCGTAAGTTCTTTAATAGGGGCTATTCGACTTCTCGCGCTTACTAACTGAACCTTTACACCTTCGATGGTTTCAGCTCTTAAAAATGCACATGTGGCATAGGCTCTTTTACTAGCATCCGAAAAAACGTGGAGCACTACGGTATCTTCGTTTTCGTAATCAATATTTAACCAACGAGGAATTTCAATCTGAGATAGCAGAGGCAATTGGTTCAACCAAGTCCCAAACTGCTCACTTAGGGGAAGAGGAAGATCTTCATCCCACTTAATCTTCTGGTTCCATGTTTCTTGCAAAATTAGCTTAGGAATTACAGTTATCGGTGCAGTAAAGCCAATGGGATCAAAAATTTTCTGGGTAATTGACAAAACTTTTCTTTTGGTAATAGGTTCCCTCAAGTTAAATGTTTCTTCGATCTTGCAACTCAAACTATCTTTTTCTAAATCCCATACTAATCCTAATACTGGGACAACTTTCGTCTTGCTCTCTATCTCTATCTCATCGATCATGTCAATGCGAAAATTTGATCGCCAACATCTCAAATTGAAATGCCCTGAAGCCAAAATCAATCTTGCTTCTTGAACGAAATTTTCGGCTTCATCTACGTGATTTAAGCTAATTAACGAATTATCGAGGTAAAATGAATCCTTCAAAATATTAGAAGTTTCTACAAACTTTTCTGGGACTGTAGTCAAAAGGTGACTAAGTGTAGCGGCTAGCAGAAACGGACTTGATGTGAGTCCAAAAACAACTCGGTTATGTCTGTAAATTTTAAACTTATGTTGATTATCGAACCATAGAAACCTTAAAAAATCTCTATCCTTTTCTGCTATTTTGATTTGACAAAAGGCCTTTTCGATGTCAGATGACACTCCTATGCGATATTTTCGAAAACGATTCAATATACGTGGAATAATTTCTATTAAATTTGGTCCTTTACTCAAACAATCATTGAGAGAGGGTGAATTCTTAGAACGTGCAGATGCATTGAAAACAGGCCGTATCTTTGTAGTTTCACTAGACTCCTTTATTACAGGTCTGTGTGACAAGTAGTGCACTCCTTCCTCCTTTTCCTCAGTTACTACCTCAATAATGTCCTTCGCTTCCCACTCATCAAATATTTCTTCGTAATCTTTTCTTCTGCGTGTGCTAATTAGTTTACTTTCGCTTTTGACGAGGTGTCTTTCTGCCATAGTACGGTTACTGGATAAGACGGATTTATCTAAAATAAAGGGTAAGGTTACCTCATATCTCCCTGAACTATCTCGTTTTACACTTTTTAAGAAATGTTTTCGAGTTTCTTCTTCCAAGGCACTTTTCGTTTTGTTTTCCTCGCTTGAAATCCCCAAGGTGTCTAAACGCCAAAGATTGGACAAATTTGTATCGGAAACATGTAAGGATAAAGAAAGAACGGACAGGGAACTCGACGTATTCGCATTCTCTTTAATCTTGCCCATTAATGTCCAGCCTAACTTAGTCTCAAAGGCTACGTAATCCCCCGCAAAATGTTCAATTCTTTCAGTGAACAATTGTGCTGCGGTGTCCGCTCCTAACAGCATATGAATCTCTTCCGGATTTTCTTGAAACAGACAGAGATTTCCATTCGCATGATTGTCGTTGATAAGGATTCCCCTTTTTTCCATTACTTTAATTAATTTTTTCGTCTTTGATCTTAGGTAGTGACGAACAAATTTTCCTCTGGTCTAGTGCTTCGATTTTACACCTGTACTTTCCATCTAAACTAGTTAAATCTATTTGATAACGATTATGATCTTCCGAAACTTCTACACCCCCAAATAACCCATGTTTAATTCTTTCAGTTCCTATCTTTTCTAATTTCAACGTTTTAGCAGCATATTGACTTATGTACGTGTTCTGACTTCCGGTGTCTATTAGCAATCTTAAATAACCCTTTAAGGTTTTCCCAGCTACCCCTACGACCAAAGTTTGTAAATAAACTTCAGAACGGTTGCTTTGATTCGAAAGTACTTTATTTTCAACTTCCTGGACAGTTTTGATCGTTCCCTTTTTACTCTCGGAATTAATTCTGTTGCACATAATCGTAGAATGCTTAGAGTGACAATGGGAGCAAAAAATGTTAGAATCACAAAATTTGCTGATGTGACCCTTATTTTGTAAACACCTAAAACAAGTGCCATTTTTGCGTAGTATTTCAACCTTTTCGTCATTAGTTAGTTTCTGGGCAATAGGACATTTATGGCTTGAATGGGAAAAATCTCCGCAAAAAACGCATGCCTTAATCAATTTTTCTTTAATACCCGTGGACACTAAATCAGAAGCAGAAGAAGCTTTCGTTTCTAATTTATTGCTCTTTCCATCGCTGAAATGACGAGTGTTTATTTTCTGGACTGCATACGCAGACTGACGGCGCCCACTATTCGCTGTCGAATGCTCTGAATTCTTATTTATGACTTCCGCCCTTTCGCGTGAATCTAAACATTGAGCTATAATCAAGCACAGGCTTTTAATATTACAATACGCACTTCCATTACTCATTCTGTTAATCTCAAGCAAAATATCTTGGGGAAGTGATTTCAGAATTATTGGACATAACACACTTGATAAATTCTCGAGAGACTGACCCAAATTTTCTAAACATCTTAATTCGATAGAAATATTATCATAAAATTTTCTAAAGGCGCGAACATCATTCGAGATTTTCAACGGTTTAGTGTTCAAAATGTTATTTATGTGAGTGTAAATGAGCACATCTGTTTTCGCAAATCTTTCTTTTAGAAGATCAATTGCGGAATCGTAATTAGCAGCAGTAATCGGTAATCCTTCCTTCGACTGTATTTAAAGCAGAACCACCTAAATGAGCTTTCAAATAATTAAATTTGTCTATTTTATCTAATGAATCATTTTTATGAATGGCAGACTCGAAACTGTTCCAAAAGGTTAGCCAGTTGTTTATATCTCCGTAGAATTTCGTTAAAGTTAACTTAGGTAATTTAATTCGAACAGACTCGTTATGTTTTGGTTCGCTTTGACTATCAGTACTGAACTGGTTATTTACTACCGTTTCAGTAGATTTGCGTTTTAATTCGTCGATTCTTTTGGAGGTACGGAAACTGCATTTAACGACCTTTTGACGATATTCTTCAGATTTTTGGAATTCAACATCAAATTCTTCGACTTTAAAAAGAGGTTCTAATTCTGTATCGACACTTTTAAGCGATTAGAAATTATTCTTTAATATTTCTAAATTTTCTTCCAAATCATGAATTTTCGGATCAATTTTAAAGCTGCGATTCCAAATATTTAAGCGATTTCATTACTGATGTTCGGAGAGCTGCGCGCTTCTTTTTTAATTTATTTAAAATCTCTTCAGACATGTTCTTAACAGTTCAAAAATTCAAAAAGTAATCAATAATTCTATTCTTAATCTTTATTTTCTAATTTAAATTCTTATTCTTAGCTCGGGCGTCCGGGCAGGGATGCCAAAAATTGTTGTTGTATCTCTCAATAGAATTCTAAAAGGTAAAAAGAAATCTCTTACTCTTTCACCCGGGAGCCGAGCTTGTTCCATTCCAAATTCTTATTCGATGAAATAATTCCAAGCTTTTTCATAAAGACTGACACTTCTGTATAAATAAAGATGTTATATTTAGATACATTTATACATTTTATATACAATTATTAGATTACATAGAAATTTACGCGCTCTCCGTCTAACAATCATTCAAGTTCGGGTTCACAGTTCTAACTACGTTGTTACGTAGGATTATTCTCGAGTTTAGATGTAATGGTGCTGATAGTTCGGAGTTTAGATGTGGAGGAGCTGATAGTTCGGAGTTTAGATGTAACAGCATGGATGTTTGCAAGCGCACAGTGTCGGAGCGGTAAAGGCGCACTCAAAATACACGGTGAGCCGAACGTCCTTTCGGGAGGTTGCTAATAGGGGAGGAAAGGTGGGACCAAGTCCTCAAATTTGAGGCTGTAGCTCAACACTTAACTACATTCAGCAAAATCTCAATAACCTGTAGTGCTACAGAGGTTGTTGGCCTAGCTTCAGGGGCGTGGCAAGGGGGGCCGTCTGTCTCCGGGCGCATAATCCAAGGGGCGCCAAACTGATGTTACGACATTTTAGAATTAAATGTTTTCCATCCTTGCAAAGCAGTAGGGGGCGCGAAATCTTCAGTTGTCCCTGGGCGCTGAAAACCCTAGCTACGACTCTGCCTAGCTTCTACCGGTACCTATAATATTATGGAGATCACTTTTGTTTAGTTATCCGAAAGTGTAGAATTCGAACTTTTCATCAATGGAAAATGCTGGGAATTAAAGGACTACCTCTGAACGTGTTTAAGTTGAAAAGAATGTCAGGAATTGCTCCTCTTTACTCTCGTGATAAATTGAGCGATTCAACGGTCTCTTAAACCGAAGGCCCTGAATTTGAATCAAAGCAAGGGCATAATCTCTTCAATAATATTTTCGCTTCTACAATTTTCTGTTAATAAACTTAGCTAAGATACTTAGAATTACATTGCATAATTTATATAAATCTATAGTTTTTATCATGTCATTTAGAAAATAACCTTTAAAACACAAAAGGAACTAGTATTAGATAAGAATTAAAATTTCTTTTGCCTTCTTCATTTATAATAAAAGTATCTCATGCCTTATCTAATAAAACCGAAGTCTTTAATCATCCGTCGTTCTTTTGATATATAATATGTTCAAATTAGAAAATGCTTAAAGAATACAAGCGACGAACTACTATTTTCCTTTTGAGTAAATTATTTTATTTAAAACTTAAATAATTTTATTTAGCTTATTAATTTTTTTAGTTACTGTAAATAACTTTGTACTTTGAATTTATGATTAGATTACTTCGTTTTTCTCCACTCTACTTAAAAAATTTACTGAAGATCAGTTTTTTTTTATTCGTATTTCGTTAAACACAAACAACGAACCCAGTCTTTAAAACAAATTCATCGTCTTTAAAAAATTTCTTCCTGGAAATCAATTACATTTTCTCATAATATTTTTCTTACCGTATTAACAGAAGTCACTACATTTAAACACATTCATTCCGAGCAGGTGGTACATTGGTCTAAAATAATGTTACATAAGCTTCCATTTATGCAGTTTTTCTAATTTTATTAAAGAACATCGCACTTCTTTTATGCTGATAGTCTACAAATAAATCCACAATCACAATCGCACAGAAAAAAAAAAAAATCACTGCACTGTTTTTCTCTGTCAGAATGGCAAATTATTAGATAGTATAAACAAGGTGTAAAGATAAAAAGTTCTTAATCCAGTCATTTAATTCAGAAGAATAAAGCAATATTTTTCTTCATTTGAAAGGGAAAGCAGAGGATTTAACTTTGCCGTGACTGTCTGCAAGGGAGAAGTCTGTTTCTTTGGAATGAAGAACTACATAATTTCTTTAATTAGCTGGGTACTTGTAAAACTTGTTTACTTCTTAAACTGAATGAAACAAGTCGGGAAAATTACATAAAGGGAGTTAGTAATGAAATAATCATGTAAAGAAACAAGACAGAAAAATCAATAGAGATTTAGAAGAATTCCTACGTATTCAAAAATAAGCTTTTCTTTATTGCCGTTGCTGTGTTCTTTTCTGGTAGATATTCAAATAATGTTTTTTCTCTTCCTCTGTAGAGTGTTGAAAGTAAATGGACCTAATTGCTTGAGAAAGCGTAAGATGCTTTTATACTGCAAGCAAACCTTACCCAAGATGAAAAGATTATGACAATATTAAATATCATTGATAACCATAAGGATTCTTAGCAACCATAAGGATTCTTCTCGACAGTTTCCTCACAGACGTATGAAAATGCGTTATTTTTCAGTTTCCCTAGATTTCAAACATACGCCTGAGAAGTACAGATTGAGAAGCTTAGATATTTCACAAGGAAATAACAAGAATGATTAGTAAGCGATAAAATTTTTTCCTGAGTTTTTTTGCGAATGAGCTGGATTTCGAGCTCTTATACGAACATTTTAAAATACTTCTTTCAATAATCACTAATGTATCCGATTAAAGTTATTGCATTAAGAAGTTTCTGAAAAAGTAAAAACTGGAAAAAACGTCGCCAAATTTCGTACAACATTCAGACTTTAGGAACAGATTTCATGAAAATAAAATATTGCTGCAAGCTACAGGTCCGTGTAACTGCTTCTCTAAGGTGGTCCCATACATTCTGTTCGGGTTAGATTAGGAGATTTGCTGGCCATTGTAATTGCTCAATATCTCACTTTCAAGGAATTCGTCAACGAGGTTAGCTTGATATGGAATAGAATTATTCCATAAATTCTTCCATAAATAAAACGTCAGATCCATATGGACTTGCATGAAGTCTTGCATGAAGTTCTAAGACCTCAGACTGATATCTCTGGGTGGTCACAAATACCTTGCTGAAATAGTCTCGGGACGTATATTCATCAATCGTTATTCCTTTCCAAATTATCACACTTGCATTACCGAAATGGTCACGTTCCATAACGTTCTAAGAATGTTTTGGCATTCCCGATTCTCTCCAGATGTAAACACGTTTATAATCAGATGTTGCAAACACAATCAGATGTTAAACTAAATTTTAATTCATCAGTAAAGAGAACATGAGACCACTGGTGTTCACTCCAGTTCGTTGATAAA